GCTCAGCACAGCTCAGCCCAGCGAAGCTCAACCCAGCCCAGCTTAGCACAGCCAGTCCAGCCCAGCCCAGCCCAACCTAACCCAGCTCAGCTTAGCCAAACCCACCTCAGCCCAGCTCAGCCTAGCCCAGCCAAACCCACCTCAGCCTTGTTCAGCTTAGCCCAGCCAAACCTACCTCAGTCTAGCTCAGCTCAGCTCAGCCCAGCTTAGGTCAACCCAGCTCAGCCCAGCTCACTTTAGCCCAGCTCAGCTCAGCCTGGCTCAGCCTGCCTCAGCCCAGCTCAGTTCAACCCAGCTCAGCCCAGCTCAGCCCAAACCAGCCCAGTTCAGCTCAGCCCAGCTCAGTTCAACCCAGCTCAGCCCAACACAGCTCAGCCCAGCTCAGCCCAGCCTAGCCCAGTTCAGCTCAGCCCAGCTCAGCTTAACCCAGCTCAGCCCAGCTCACCTTAGCCCAGCTCAGCTCAGCCTAGCTTAGCTCAATCCAGGTCAACCCAGATCAGCCCAGCTCACCTTAGTCCAGCCCAGCTCAGCCCAGCCCAGTTCAGCTCAGCCCAGCTCAGCTCAACCCAGCTCAGCCCAGCCCAGCTCAGCCCAGCTCAGCCCAGCCTAGCCCAGTTCAGCTCAGCCTGGCTCAGCTCAGCCCAGCTCAGTCCAGCTCACCTTAGCCCAGCCCAGCTCAGCCCAGCCCAGTTCAGCTCAGCCCAGCTCAGCTCAACCCAGCTCAGCCCAACCTAGCTCAGCCCAGCTCAGCCCAGCCTAGCTCAGTTCAGCTCAGCCCAGCTCAGCTCAGCCCAGCTCAGCCCAGCTCACCTTAGCCCAGCTCAGCTCAGCCTAGTTTAGCTCAGTCCAGGTCAACCCAGATCAGCCCAGCTCACCTTAGTCCAGCTCAGCTCAGCCCAGCTCACCCTGGTTCAGCCCAGCTCAGCTCAGCTGAGCTCTTTCAGGCTCAGCCCTGTTTATCCAGGTCAACCCAAGGCAGCTCTATCCATCCCAGCCGTTTTCTGAACTCTAGGTAGAATGGCTTGAAAGGGTCAGGGCAGTAGACCCTCTTGCCTGACCTTAAGCACCTCCTTCCAGGATTCCCACCCGAGAGCTTCTAGCTCCTGCATCTTCCCCTGTTTGACACCCGAATCTCAGGCTCCCTGCCCAGCTGCACTTGGTGCTGGCTGCAAAGCAGTAGGAATGGACACTAACCTGCCCTACTTGGGTAGAGTATTTTATGGCAACTTTAAAGTCATTAAGACAGCTTGTGATTTAAATTAATAATTTAGGAGCCTTCCTTATGATAAAAATGAAAGTTCCTCTTACAGAGGGTTGCTCCACACGTGGCACTAGGAAAGTTCTCCTGAGCCTCCTCCAACCAGGACTGCTCCCTTCCAAGTCTAAGGTAAGCCCCTGCTTTAAATTACTCTAGAAAAAAACCATCACTAGTAATGACCCAGGAAAGGCATTTCATGTAAATTTGACACCTAAAATTTTGCTGGTCACCATACATCATTTTGGAAGGTCTGAGCTACTTTCTAGGATGAAGTAATGATCTAAAATTCAAAGTTGCATTTTTAACATAAGTAAGGACAGTGCAGGCCCTGCTCTCCCCATGTTC